ATATTATCTGTCTTGAACAGCAGTTTCTGATTTGAATTGCCCACTGTGAGCTACAGTCTTGTAAGATACCCAGACATTTTATGTATGCATGTATGTATGTATGTATGTATGTATGTATGTATATATTTATGTATTTAGATGGAGTCTTGCTCTGTCACCCAGGCTGAAGTACAGTGGCATGATCTTGGCTCACTGCAAGCTCCACCTCCCAGGTTCAAGTGTTTCTCCTGTCTCAGCCTCCCAGGTAGTGGAGATTACAGGTACACACCATCATGCCTGACTAATTTTTGTATTTTTAGTAGAGACTGAGTTTTACCTTGTTGGCCAGGCTGGTCCGGAACTTCGGACCTCAAGTGATCTGCCTACCGCAGCCTCCCAAAGGGTTGAGATTATAGGCATAAGCCAATGTGCCTGGCCTACCCAGGCGTTTTAAATAAATTTAGGCCATACTTAGGTTATGGGTAGAAGCTATTTGGGGCTGGGTGCAGTGGCTCATGCCTGTAACCCAACACTTTGGGAAGATGAGGCAGGATTGCTTTAAGTCAGGAGTTTGAGACCAGTGTGGGGTACATAGCAAGAACTTATCTCTAACAAAAAATTAGCTAGGTCTGGTGGCATGCACCTGACGTTTCAGCTGCTTAAAAGGCTGAGGTGAGAGGATTTCTCTAGCCCAGGAGTTTTGAGGCTGCAGTGAGCTGATTGAGCTACTGACTCCATCCTGGGTGACAGAGCAACACTGTCTCAAACAACAACAACAAACTCAGTGATTTGGTTGCTAATACCATATATGTAATAGTAAATGTCTAAATGTTAGCTTAATTAAACGAATTTATATAGGCCTTTTTTTGTTGGAATAAAGCATTTGCTTCCATTTTATAATATGGATAATCACATATTAACTCCTACCTTTGATCTCATAATTCATGCTTTTATGTTTGTAGGCTATAATAACTCCTCACTATTAAATTCTCATCAACAAGTCTGGCAAAATTGGGATATCCTTAGCCCACGTTTCTGAGAAGGAATATTACAAAACAATAATTACAGGATATGAGGTATGGCATCTTGAGTTACAAATACTTTTCCAAGTCCTACTTGTTTACATTGAACTCAAATTGACTGTCAAATAAGAATACTGGGCCGAGTGTGGTGGCTCACGCCTGTAATCCCAGCACTTTGGGAGGCTGAGGCGGGTGGATCATGAGGTCAAGAGATTGAGACCATTTTGGTCAACATGGTGAAACCCCGTCTCTACTAAAAATACAGAAAACTAGGTGGGCATGGTGGTGCGTGCCTGTAATCCCAGCTACTCAGGAGGCTGAGGCAGGAGAATTGCCTGAACCCAGGAGGCAGAGGTTGCGGTGAGCAGAGATCGCGCCATTGCACTCCAGCCTGGGTAACAAGAGCGAAACTCCGTCTCAAAAAAAAAAAAAAAAAAAAGAATACTGATAAAAGTAAATTGCTACTATAAAACTTAATTATTAGTATATAACTGAATGGAATCCTAAAATTCATTATGAATTATCAGTAATATAGGAAATCTTATTTTAATAGCATTTCCTTTTAAAAAGGAGCTTACAATATAGTTGGTCTATTTCAAATATCCTATTTAGAATTTTTATTTTTTTTTGTCTTTCATAGAAATTATAACTTTCTACTTTCCAGAAAGGTTTTTTTGTTTTTTTTGGTGGGCGAGAATTTCAAAAGAAGGAAATTCTAACAGGATTAAGTTTAGGATAGGTTTATTCTAGTAGGCTTTGTGGCACAGGTCCCCTAAATAATTCATCTTAAGACTCCAGTGTATGCAATATATCAAGAAATTAAATTGCCATCAACTGACAATTAAATTTGATACCCTTAAATATACAGAATGCTACACATAAATCTTTCCAATCTTTGAAGGATTTATTTTCTAAGCTCTTCCATAAAAAAGTATAGGATTGTATATTTTATGGAATTTTTTGTTTGTTTGTTTGAAAGCAACATCTTTAAAGTTTCCTGGAAACTCTAAAAAGTGCTTGCTAACTTAAAAAACAATTGTCTTTAGGTATTTCATGCTAAGTTGGAAGCCTTTTTTATCAAACACGATGAAACCAAATATAGCATGAACCCATAGCTTTAAAAACATTGCCCATGTGATTTTTTTGTTGAGAATGAACAATTTTTTCTTGATGCACAGCCTCATTCTACTTTTCTGTATAACTGGATAGTAACTTTTTTGGGGGAAATAAAAATTCAACATATGTTACATTGGTTTCTTGATAACTTTATTTTCAATATGACTATTCAAAAATTCTTCTTAATGGAGGATTTGGAAAAGCCAACTTTTAATTGAGTTGACGATAATCAAACAATGCAGTTGATATAATGGCTACTGCTTTCAGAGTGACGGCTATGTATGTGTTAGGCATTGTTCTCATGATCATGTATTTACCAACTTTAATCCTCATAATAGCACTGCAAGGTAAGTACTATTAGTCTCTTTCATTTGTAAGGAAAAAGGAATATTAAAGAGATTTAAGTACCTTGCCTTTTGTCCAGCTAGTAAATTTTCTCAGCAAATATTTGGAAGCATACTTGGTATTGGGCTTGACATTACCTCTGGGGCTGGGAACACAACTGTGAACAAGACAGACAAGATCCCCATTCTCAAGAAGCTTACATTCCAGTAATAAAGTCAGGATTTGAATATAATGGTGTTAGACTCAAACTCTTCTTAGCTGCTACTCTTCCCCCATAGCAACACTCCAATAAGATGAATGAAATTGTTTCAGATGGAAACTATATACTGGAATATATTGTAAGAAAGTAATGTTGGTATATAAACATCCAGATTTAGATTTATCAATGGAAAAACCCTATGACTTAGATGTATAGAGACCGGAAAGCCTATGCTGCATAACAGACATGGCTTATGATTGCCTGATAACATGCAATTCAATAGCAGTAAGAAATACTTGCTGTTAACTTTCAAATGGCCTTAATGATCATTATCTCAGTGCATGACCTTGCTCTGTCCAGCAAGGTAGCCACAAGTCATTTGTAGTTTTCAAGTACTTGAAATATGGCTAGTGTGACTGAGACACTACATTTTAAATTTTATTTAATTTTAATTAATTTAAAAAGTGATACCTGATCCAGTTACAAGATTTTTTAAGCATGCTAAAACAACTTGGGTATGTGAATCTCTTTTTTAACTGTACATTTTAGGATATTTAAATACAGACCAAATATTTCTGATAAAAATTTAGCATCCGAATTGAGATGTGCTAAAATGTAAAAATATACACTGGATTTTGAAGACAATATAAAACATAAATATCTCATTAATAATTTTAAAACTACTGATTACATGCTGAAATATTTTTGATATATTTGGTTAAATAAAATGTTATTAAAATTAGTTTCAACTGTTTCTTTTTTAAAGTTTTATTTTTAAAAATATGTGTACAGGGCCAGGCATGGTGGCTCACACCTGTAATCCCAGCACTTTGGGAGGCCAAGGTGTGTGGATCATGAGGTTAAGAGTTTGAGACCAGCCTGGCCAATGTAGTGAAACCCCGTCTCTACTAAGAACACAAAAATTAGCCAGGCGTGGTGGCATGTGCCTGTAATTCCAGCTACTTGGGAGGGTGAGGCAGAAGAATCGCCTGAACCTGGGAGGCGGAGGTTGCAGCGAGCCAAGATCCTGCCACTGCACTCCAGTCTGGGAAACAGAGAAAAAAAAAATGTGTGTACTAGGAAATTTTAAATTACACATATTGTTTGCTTTTATTTATATCACTCTAAGAAGCCCTGTTGGAGTGTGATCCAAATAATAAATCTTTTATTTTTGGCATCAAAACATTTTCTTATTACACTTCACTGTTCTTTCATAAAAAGCTATGAATTATTTATCACCATTTCTATTCATGTTGTGAAGTTGTTAAGGTCAGGGATGTTGGTCTGCATCTTACAAAAATGGTCTCCAGTCCAAGTAAAGAAATCATTAGATGTGAGATAGCCCTCAACAGACTTCACCCTCCTACACATAGTGCTGAGTGTGGCAAGCATGCAAGACCTTGACTGTTCTTTACTTGGGGCATTTCACTGTATTGAGTTTGGAGTGAGCATCTGTAAGGGATGAGGCAAAGGGCAGGTTTAAATATTAGTGATAAAAAGCAATGAACCCTCCAAGCTCAGTATTTTTTACCTACAACAAGAGCCCATTGTATATGTAGCTATATTGCATATGGCCACATCATGATGCCCCCATGGGACCTGAGACAAGGGGAAGCAATGAGAATGTGCTGATGCTCATGCTCCTTGTTGTGCCATGAGTAATAGTCCTTTGTTTTTGTCCCAGGAATCTCATGTCTTCTGTTAGCATCCATGAAAAAGTAACAGGGTAACTACTTAGCTTCTAAGTAAGGTAAAATCAAATATCAGACCTGACAGGATGCACTTAAAATTATGTATTTATACTCATCTTTAGTTGTGGAAAATTACTAGGTTTGATGGAATATAAAAATTCTTTTCCATACATAAAACTTTTGTCTTACAATTTAAAAAATTTAACTAACTTATGGAAACCTAGTTTTGATATAAAATTTGGTTTTATATAAAAATGTGGCTGAGAAAATCTTAGCTTAAAAATCTTTAAGAATTATGAAATGCAAGGGTCAATATTTGTCCTTATAATAAAAATATTACATATGCACTTGTATGAAGTGTCAGTATATAAGTATGTACATAATACATTTATTTCCCAAGAGTGTTTTTCAGAGTAGTCTTTTAAAAATAGAAAGTGAACATAAGAATTCTGTGGGACTATATTCAAAGACTTAAAGATTTTGAAATGAAATAGTTTATCTAATATACTATATATATACATATATGTATATATATATATATATATATATATATATATATATATATATATATATATATATTCAGGACCAAAGCAAACATTATAAAATGTATAAAAATAGGTAAAAAGATACAAGTACAATATAATTTGGTTGGAATTTCAAAGGTGCTTTCTTTTCTTCTCCTTCCCCTTTATCTCAAAAGTTAAAAATACTTTTGAAGCAGCATGTATTGTTGCACTTTTGATTTTTTGTTGTACAGTTAATGAACTTGAGAGTCTGGATGACTGGTGATCATCTATTTGGCCTTCCCATTCTTTTGTTTCTTCTTCTTTGATTAGTAAAGGTTTTCCTAAGGTTTGGCCAACAAGGTTACAGACTTCTTGAGCTTTGCGCCACGCATTCTCAACAGCAACAAGACAGGCTTGCCGTCTTAGGAATTAAATGGAGAGATTATTAATATGACACTCAATGAAATGTAGCACTGGATAGTTTTGTTTAAAGAATAACTTAGTCAAAGATGTACTTAAACTTACCGAAGACTCTCAACAGAACCTGGAGTATGATAGAACTGGGGTGGGCTGATGACAACAGAGCTATCTAGCTTTTCAACAAGAAAGTTACATATATTTTGCATTTTTCCAAATTCAGTAAATGTAATGCAGACCTGTAAATGAAATGACACGATATTATTTTCATGTCTGATGTATTGTTTCAAGATTTTCTCTAAATGTGAGTAAAAAAAGTAAAGCCAGGTTATGAGGTCATTTTATAGTATTTAACAGATTTTTAAAAGCCTATATGATATTCATAACTAAATTACTTTGTTCTTTAAGATTTTTGCTTTTGAATTTTCAAATTTATCTAATATTTTCTTTAATTTTAAAAAATTTATTTTAAGTCAGAGAATTTTAAATGAAATTGGAGGAGTTTCACTTAAACCTTATTACTTGGCTAAATTTTAATTCTGATAACTTTTCCACGATTTCTTTGTCTAATCAATGCCCTTAGCTTCCTGATTAGTAGTATGTCATACTTCACTGCTATCATGAGAAATGTTTCTTCTTCTAATAGTTATGTTCAGCTCTAATGTGGAAGCTAATGTTTTGTTAGTTTTTTGCCTTGATCTGTTTAGTGCTGTCAGCAGGGTCTTCTGCCTTTAAATATGTGGAAGTAGTCCTTATATTCAGCAATACTTTAAAACCGTAAACTCTTCGATAAAGAAAATTAAACCTTGTCTTTTTTTTTTTTTTTTTTTTTTTTTTAGGAGAAACAAGATCTTGTTTGTTGTCTAGGCTGGAATGCATTGGCACAATCATAGCTTACTGCAGCCTCAAACTCCTGGGATCAAGTGATCCTCCTACCTCAGTCTTCCAAAGTAGGTAGGATTACAGGCATGTACCACCATACCCAGCTAATTAAAACAATTTTTTTTGTAGAGGTGGGAGGTTTCACGATGTCGCTGAAAATGGTCTCAAACTCCTAGTCTCAAGCAATTCTCCCACCTCGGCAGTTGTAGGGATGAGCAACCACACCCAGCATAAACCTTTTCTTCTAAAGAACCCTACGCAAGCTCAATATGTAAAACAAAAAGTACAAAAATCAGACAATAAACTGGAGTAGCAAAGAGAGACATAAGAAAACCTCACCTTCTACGATGCAAACAATCTGTCTTTAATAATAATTTTTTTTTTGAGACAGAGTCTCTTTTTATTTCCCTGGCTGGGGTGCAGTGGTGTGATCACAGGCTCACTGTAGCCTCAACCCTGGCTCAGATGATCCTCCTGCCTCAGCCCCCCAAGTAGGTGGGACTACAGGAACGTGCCACCATGCCTAGTGAATTCTATTACTTTTGAAAAAGGTATAGAAATTTGTAAACACCATAACAAAAATTTACCTGTTCCGACACCCCTAAAAATTCCCTCAAGTAACTCCCTTATCAGTTCCTTCCCCAATTCCCAAATCCTGGTAACTACTGATAAATTCTCCACTGTTAAAAATTTGCCTTTTTCAGAATGTCATATAAATGGAAGCATATAGTAGTCTTTGAGACCACTTCTTTCATTTAGCATAATGTATTTGCAATTCATCCACACTGTGGCATAATAGTTTTGTTCCTTTTATGCTGAATAGTGTTCGTTATATGATCTAATCACAGCTTTTTTTTTTTTTTTAAATCATTAGGTTGCTTCCAGTTTGGGGCTATTATAAATAAAGATGCTGCTTTTTCAAAGTAGTTCTAGATCCTTTGCATTTCCAAATGTATTTTGTAATCAGTTTGTCAATTTCTATTTTTTGAAAAGCTGGCTGAGATTTTGATTAGGATTATATAGATCAATTTAGGGAAATCTGATATCTGGAATATTGACTCTTCCAAACCATGAACAAGATTATGTTTCTCCATATTTAGGTCCTCTTTAATTTCTCTCAGCAGTGCTTTGCAGTGTTCAGCATACAGGTCTTTCACATGTTTATAACAGATTTATCCCTATGTATTTTAATTTTTTTGATACTTACTAGTTCTAATGGCTTTTTTGTAGATTCTATCAAATTTTCTACAAAAATGGTCATGTCATCCATGCATTAAGACAGTTTCACTTCTTCCTTTCCAGCTATCTTTTATTCTTTTTCTAGCTAGAATTTCAAGTACAATGGTGAAAGAGGACATGAATGAAGACATCTTTGTCTTGTACCTGATCTTAGGCACAAAACATTCAGTGTTTCACCATTAAGTATGATATTAGCTGTAGGTTTTCATGGATTCCTCCTATCAGTTTGAGGAAAATACCTACTGTTCTTATTTTATTGATAATTTTTACTAGGAATAAATAATAGATTTTGTTAAGTGTTTCTTCTGCATTTATTGAGATGATCATGTGATTTTTTTCAATCTATTAATATAGTGAATTAGACCAATTTCTGAATGTTAACCAACCTGGGATACACCATGTTTGGTCATTATGTATTATTATTATTATTTATACATGCATGTAAAGGATACATGTGTGTGTATATGTGTATGCACGTATGAGTATAAATCATTTAATTTGGCTAAAATTTAGTTTGTAATTTTCACATGTTTATGATGATATTGGTCTGTAATTTTCTTTGCTTGTAATTACATTTTTCTGGTTTTGGTATCTTCTGACCTCGAAGAATGAGGTAGGAAATATTTCTTCCTTTTCAGTTTTCCAGAAAAATTTGTATAGATTGGCATGATTTCTTCCTTACATACTTTCTAGTTTCCTTTTAAATTTCTTCTTTGACAAATGGGTTACTGAAAAGTATGTTTTTAAAATTCAGCATATTTGGGGGATTTTCCTGAGACCCTTCTGTTACTGGTTTTTAATTCCACTATGGTCAGAAAACTTTGTATGATACAAATACTTTTTTTTTTTTTTTTGAGATGGCATCTTGCTTAGTTGCCCAGGCTGGAGTGCAATGGTGCAATCTTGGCTCACTGCAGCCTCCACTTCCCAAGTTCAAACAATTCTCCTGTCTTAGCCTCCTGAGTAGCTGGGATTACAGGCATGCACCACCACGTGTGGCGGTGTTTTTGTAAACATAGGGTTTCACCGTGTTGGCCAGGCTGATCTTGAACTCTTGACCTGAGGTGATCTGCTTGCCTTGGCCTCCCAAAGTGCTGGGATTAGAGGTGTGAGTCACTGTCCCCGGCCAAATACTTTTAAATTTGTCAAGACTTGTTTTATAACCCAGAATACAGTCTACCTTGGCAAATGTTCAATGTGTACTTGAAAGGAATGTGTAGGCTGTTGTTCCCTGAGTATTCTATAAATGTCAAGCAGGTTGAATTGGTTGATAGTGTTACTCAAATCTGTTATATTCTTACTAATTTTCTGTCTATAGTTTTATCAACTATTGAAAAGGGGAGGTATTGAAATCTTCCACAAAAACTGTAGGCTTACTTATTTTTCCTTGTAGTTCTATGATTTTTGCCTTAGGTATTTTGAAGCTTTATTATAAATACACATAGTTAGTACTATATGCCCTCTTTATTAATTTACTCTTTTATCATTATGAAATGACTGTCTTTATCTATGATATTCATTGCCCTGAAATCTACTTCGATTATTACAGCCATTTCAGCTTTCTTTTCATTTATGTTAGCAAGGTATATCTTTCTCCATCCCATTACTTTTAACTGATTTATGTCTTCATATTTAAAGTACACTTCTCTCAGGCAGCATGTAAATGGAGTTTGCTCTTTTAATACAATATAAAATTTCTGTATTTGAATGAAGGTATGTGGACCATTTACATTTAATGTGATTATTAATATGGTTAAATTTAAACCTGTGGTTTTGTTACTTCCCCTTTTCTCATTTTCTGTATTCTTTTGGATACTTTTATATATTATTTCATAGCTTTCATTGGCTTACGAGCCGTAACTCCATTATTTTAGTGTTTGATTTAGGATTTATAGAATACATGTTAAACTTACTACAATCTACCTTCAAGATATATCATAGCATTTCACATACAACAATATAACATTGCACTTCTGTTTTTCCCTTCCTGACTTTTGTGCTATTGTTTTTATATATTTTATTCTTATGTATGTTACAATCCCTGTAGTTGATCATTATCATTTCTTTAGTCAGTTATCTTTTTCTCTTTTCTTTTTTTTTTTTTCAGACAGAGTCTCACTCTCCTGCACAGGGTGGAGTGCAGTGGTGTGATCTCAGCTCACTGCAACCTCCGCTTCCTGCGTTCAAGCGATTCTCCTGCCTCAGCCTGCCAAGTAACTAGGACTACAGGCATGCGTCACAATGCCCAGCTAAGTTTTGCATTTCAGAAGAGATGGGGTTTTGCCATGTTGGCCAGGCTGGTCTCCAACTCCTGACCTTCTGTGATCCCCCTGCCTCGGCCTCCCAAAGTGCTGGGATCACAGAGGTGAGTCACCACACCCGGCCTAGACAATTATCTTTTATATAAATATAGAGATTTCTAATTAGATTTATATTAAGAAAAACCCATGTAGTTACCATTTTCTGTACTCTTCATTCCTTTGTGTAAATTCCTGTTTCTTTCTGGTATCATTCTTTTCTGCTTAAACTATGTCATTTAAATTTCTCATAGTGCAGGTCTACAGGTAATGAATTCTTTTAGTTTACCGGAAAGGTCTTGAATTGGTCTTTGTTTTTCAGCACTACTTTTGCTGAATATATTAATAGAAACTCTAGGTTGATGTGTGTGTGTGTGTGTGTGTGTGTGTGTGTGTGTGTGTGTATACATATTTTTTTTTCCTTTTAGTATTTTAAAGATGTGGCTCAACTGTCTCCTTGCTTGCAGTATTTTCAACAAGTAATTTGTTGTCTTGCCTTTGTTCCTTTGTAGATAGTATGTCTTTTTCCCCTGCCTGTGGTTGTTTTATGATTTATCACTGCTTTCGAGCAATGGGATTATAATATGTATTGGTGTATTTTTAAGAAATTTATCATGCTTAGGGTTAGTTGAACATTTTGACTCCATGAGTTTATAATTCTCAACAAGTTTGGAGATTTTGAGGTTATAATTTTTCCAAATATTTTTCTTGTCCCCCACTCTTCCTCTGCATTGGGACTTCAATTATATGTATAGTAGGCTATTTCATGTTGTCCTATAGTTTATTAAATTATTTTTATGTCTTTCTTTTCTGTGTTTCAT